TGCTGGTATTTGATCGATATCAGGTCTTTGGAATAATGCCTGATCAACCGACTGTCTTGATATAATATCTTTGATTCATGATGTTATCTATTGAACAATTAGAAATCTATAGAATAATAACGAATCAACTAGAAGAATAGCCAAACTCTCACGAGAACATTATGCATTATTTGATGACTTTAAGGTGTTTGGAATAATTCCTGACCATCCTGCTATTTTATTAGAATATCTTAAACGCACGATTTGATTTATTGAACAATATGAGATCTTCAGAATAATATCTTATCAACCAGCAGAATCACCAAAATACTCAGACATTTTGTTGGTATTTGATGAATTGAAGCTCTTTGGAATACCAAAGCGAATGTCAAATATCTATAAAATATCATAAATTACCCCGATCATTGGTTCGCACGAGCTGGCCAATAAACTCCTACTTTTGACAACACTTCAAGAAAATGCTTCAATATTAGTGTGGTAGATTCGCTCGGTTCGTCGTTTTAAGTGTTGTTTCATTAAAGGGGGATTTTCACCAAAACACTACACCCCTAAGCGGATATACTAACAAACCAAATCGCCCATCTGACGACTACGAAACAGATTCACAGTAAAGTGTCCTACATATAGCTACAACAATAACAATATGTACCTAAATCGGTAGAGGGGGGCAACCATCGCATCGATGGTAGTATTTGCCCGTGTGGATAGCTCCACCGCACGCAAACCAACGTCGAACCAGCAAACCCTACCCACACTATGTACGAGTCTCGGCCTCAGCTCAGTAGTGCGAGCCAGGAAGAGAAGAACAAGTGGAGCCCACCACTTTTACTCGGATTTTCATCGTCCCCTGAGACGGTCGTCGTCGTCGTCGTCGTATTCCGTTGGATGTGTGCCACGCGCGCGGATTTCCACATTTTTCACACCTTTTCTAGTGATTCCCTGTTTGGGTAGATAGAAGTGCAGTGTAATTCATGTCGAAAAATCCGTACCGTTTTGAATATATATAGGATTATTACAAGAAGGTGCGTTTCGGTTGTGAAATGTAAGTAATTAATGTGCTATAGGTGACAGACTGCACGAATGCTTCCGTGGCTCATTTCGTCCTCGTAGCCCTAAAGGCTGACGGTTGTGCGAAAAAAATCCCACCAAGGACTGTATTTTTTTTTTCAGCGTGTGCTAAAATACGCCAATGAGTAGTGAAGTTGAATGAACAAGTTTCGCACGGCATGGTGGCAGGCGAATAACTGTACTACACATATATTTGCGAAGAATACAAGAGGAGACGTTAGTGTCCCAATTTTCTTCGGGAATCAACCAGAGCAACCAAACTGTGTGTACATATAGGCAACTAGCCAGCCAGCCTCGGTCGAACAAGAATAACGTTGTTTTCTTTCATGTCTCGCCCAACCTTGTGTTGTGATGGTGTTTTGGTGTGTGGTGTTTTCTCTGCTTTTGTTGTCTGGTCTGGTCGGTTTAGAGAGACTCGGTGCGGTCCATACTAACTAAACTGACTGACGGCTAAAGATATGCATGATAATTTGTTGTTTCCAAGTTAGTAACACGTAGGTACATTTTGATGATGAAGTGAATTTAGTGGAAATGTCGACGCGCAGAACGGAATATGGAATTTGAGGTCGAGTTTGTTGTGGTTTGGCACTTTGGAGCTGAATGAAAGTGAAGCATATGTTAAGGCTATGGTTGTGAGTTATTACGACCTCACAATAACCTAAAATAAATGGTCTGCATTCAACGGAAAATCCTCTTCATAGTTTAGTTGAATTTTATGGTGCTTCAAATATTCAAGAACATAGAATATCGTAAAACTGTTGTTTACTTTATTATTAATAAAAAAGCTAATTGAATTAAATGTTAGAAGTGCGACAAGATAAGATATTGAAAATAATATTAAAACAAACAAAAAACTGATAGGGGAAATGGCTCTAATGTTGGCCTATGGATCTAAGATTGGGCCCATCACTAAAAATCTGCTATTTATCAATTGTATTTAGATGAACGCGTCATTGGGATGGTACTAATGGATATTTTTGGTTCCTATTGAAAATTTAGTCGAGTATCCTCGCTGTTCACTTGATCAAGTTTAATATCCTTTAATTGTACTCAACCTCCCATTTTATGAAGGGCCAAAAACGGTTTAGTTGAATCCGTGGGCTATATCGCCCACGTGCATCCACAGGATAAATGAGAATCTCCCTCCAAGAACAGGATCCTACAACCGGTCCACAAACCGGCCATCCAACAAGAGGATGCCCAAATGAATGGGAAGAAGAGCCCGCGCTCTATTCATGAAATGTTAAAGACTGGGAGTTGGCATTTCTACTCTCCGCATGCATTTCGCTTCAATCGGGTGCCCTGGTGGACCCTCCCGTACCCAGCATTTAATGTTTCATATAATAATCTAATGAAAGCTAAGGGAAAATAAAGAAAAGATCTCACCAGAAGAGCTCCCATAGATGTGCTACCGCTATTTCTTCAACCGGTGTTAAAAACAGCACTCTCGCCTTACGTTCCTCATACAGCAGCGGAAACCCCCATCAACCATGAAACACACTAGCACTAGCTAGATGGATCTCAGCAGAGAAAAAAAAGATTGCGTCCACTTTCCATCACCAATCACTCGTGACACAACGATATTCAGCTGCCATCTCTTGGTAGACCATTAATAATTGAAAAAAAATATTTTCCCAACAATTCGTTGGAATCCACCCCAGAATTCCATGGGAATTACCTCTGAATTCTTCTTAAAATGACCTTGAGATGATCGCTTAGAATTATCGTGAAACTCTCCATTGAGTTCCCTTGTAGATTTCATCAGAATCTCCTTTAACACTACTCAGAAAAACTTATGGTATGTTTAAGATTTCCCCCCTGCCGTAAACTCATTAAAAATCTCTCAACATTCCTTATGAATTCTCGGAGAAATCCTCTTGAAACTTTCTTCAATCTAGCTTTAAATTCTGCAAAGATGTTTTTAACTATGTTAAAAATTGGATCCTTTTGGAACTATCGTCCATATCTCCTAGCAGCTCTCTTTGGAATTTCTCTTTTAATAATTGATTGATCAAAACTTAAGAGATTTTCAGCCGTCATCATTAGGCGTAGTTTCAGGATTCTAATAATATCATTATCATAGTTAATTTGGCCGTTAGGTGAATTGTCTTTAAACCCTCCTCCGAATTCTCTTAGAATCCTGCCCAGAAATCCCTTCGGATTTGCTCATGGAATTCTTCTTAAAACCCCCATAATAATCTCATCAGAACTAGCTTAGGATGAAATTTTAGCTTTCCTAAAGAAATCTTTTAGCTTTCCTAAAAAAATAAAGGGTGATACGGTCAAAATTTGGTCAAGGGAAAACACGTGTAAATCGGTGAAATCGTTTATTTAAAAAATCAAATTAAATTTCTTTTTCAAGTTCAATTAGTATAAAATTCAGGAAAAATATTCAGTTAGGCTTCCGCTTTTCCAAATCCGAATTGCCGGGCCTTACGCTTGACCCCTGCCATCAGATTTTGTACAGCCACCTTGTCCACCTTCTTCGCCGCAGAAAGCCAGTTTGCCTTGAACTGCTGCTCGCCCTTAGCAGTTTTTTTTTTGGTCTTCTTTAGGTTCCGCTTGACAATAGCCCAGTATTTCTCAATTGGGCGGAGCTCTGGCGTGTTGGGAGGGTTCTTGTCCTTGGGAACCACCTGCACGTTGTTGGCGGCGTACCACTCCATGGCCTTTTTACCGTAATGGCAAGATGCCAAATCCGGCCAAAACAGTACGGAACAACCGTGTTTCTTCAGGAAAGGCAGCAGACGTTTATTCAAACACTCTTTCACGTAAATTTCTTGGTTGACAGTCCCGGAAGCTATGAAAATGCTGCTTTTCAAGCCACAGGTACAGATGGCTTGCCAAACCAGATATTTCTTTGCGAACTTTGACAGTTTCATGTGCTTGAAAACATCTGCTACCTTTCCCCTTCCTTTTGCCGTATAAAACTCCTATCCCGGAAGCTGCTTGTAGTCGGCTTTGACGTAGGTTTCGTCGTCCATTACCACGCAGTCAAACTTCGTCAGCATCGTCGTGTACAGCCTCCGGGATCGCGCTTTGGCCGTCGTATTTTGTTTATCATCGCGATTTGGAGTCACTACCTTCTTGTATGTCGATAGTCCGGCTCGTTTTTTGGCTCGATGCACGGTTGTAGACGATACACCCAGCTTATTTGCGGCATCTCGGAGAGAGAGGTTAGGGTTTCGCTTGAAACTACCGGCAACTCTCTTTGTCGTCTCAGCGGCTTCCGGTTTTCGATTTCCCCCCGATCCAGACTTCCTGGCTGTCGACAAACGTTCCCCAAACACTTTAATTACATTTGTAACGGTTGATTTGGCAACTTTTAGCGATTTTGCCAACTTTGCGTGCGAGTAGCTCGGATTTTCGCGATGCGCGAGCAAAATTTTAATACGCTGCTCTTCTTGCTTGGACGGCATTTTGACAACTGAAGAGTGAATTCCAAAATCAAAATAGGAGCAACATTCTACACACACACACCTTCAAAATGAGGGGTGTTCAGGTTTTTTAAATGCAAAATTGAAAGAAATACGTCAACTTGATATTGACCAAATTTTGACCGTATCACCCTTTATTCATTTTTGGACCTGGAAAATCAGGGAATCTCCGGGAATTTAATTCAAATTCATTGAGGATGGTTCTTCATTTCAAATTTGAAATAGAGTTACGAACTAGTGGTTGTTCAATGCTTGATGTTGCATTTTTGCGAGTTGAGCAAAACTTACTCAAGTATTTCGATGATTTTGAGTCTATTATAAATTCAGCTCTCACTGGGTGTTGTCCCATTCCTGAGTTGAACTGAGATATAAAATCCATTTCCGTAGACGCTAGACATTGTTAGTTGTTGCAAAATTTAAGCTGCTAATGGGTATGTGCGTCTCTTAATTGATGTTACACCTAATTGCGTCTGACAAAATTTAACCTTCGAGTAGATTGGTGCGTCTACTCGATCCAGCTGTTCATTATCGGTTACAAGAAGCTGTTACAATGAAATGAAATCCCCGTATCGTTCCACCAATTTCTATTATTAACGATTTTCTACAATAGAGGCCTGGATCGATCCACACAGTAATGTAACGAGGCTTGGGTTTTAACCCATGAACTTCTACTCAATAAGCAGAAACGGTTGCTCTATAGCCACCGTGCCCCTTACATTACCACAATCTACGACCGAGTCAACATTAAGCAATTAGAATAAGAACGTTAAAGTAGATGCATGACAGTTGCCAGTATGTAAATTACGAATTACTCCGTTACAAACGGAACGCAAAGCAACAATAAGGCGTACTTTTTAAACATGCCAATATTGGAAGATGTTTGTACATCGTTGCTACATACTTTTGAATTTTAAATCATGTTATTTTTCCTTTGGGTTATTTCAAGACCATTAAATTGACTCTTATCATTGGATTATTATTACTCTTATAATGCACTGTTTGAAATGTTGATTGGTTTTTAATATAAATTCCCGTTTCTCTTAATATTTTCCATCATAAAATAAAACTTCTACTTCCCGAAATGGCTCATACCGTTTCTTTTAATCATATACATCCTGTTTCAATCATTGGTGGCGATTTGAATTTGTTAATGATAGATTCAATAAAAAAAATCTTTGTGGGACAGTTATGCGTAGAATTTTAACATGGTGCCCAAAATAAGCCCAAAACCAATTACATGTTTTTCTTTTTTCATTCGAAAGTTTACCTAAAAAGTATTGTTTTATGATCAAAAGTGTTAAACGTTAAAAAGTAACATGCATAGATATGCGTAGAACGGTGTACATATTTTGATAGCCAAATAGGACTTCTTACTTAGCCGATTAGATTTGAACGACGATACTAATTGAATAATACCTTATTCTCTTCCTTCCAGATTTCATCATGAATTGAAGCTTGAGTTTCAGAGGAATAACCTCTACAACTACACAGGTGTGAAAAAGTAATTAGAAAAGGCATAAGCAAGAAGAAAAAGAAGAAGATTTTCGCGTTGAATTCGGTGTAAAACAACTGCCCAATGCAACAACTGTGCTGGTCAACCATGGAAGTGCTTTAAGAAGAAACAAGTGTTTTCCTCAACCATTTACCGTGCGGTTGGGAAAAAAAAGAGAAAATTGCCATTTATCTTGCTGAAAAGGAATAGCCAAGTGCGTAGTGCTGAACGAAAACGAGTGTTGATAAAGTGCTAAAGTGAAGTCCCCTCGGTTAAAAATCGTGAAAATCATGAGTCGTAACCGTACCAAAGGTGGTACGACCAGTTCCTCTGCCAAGAAGCAACACGAAAGCGGCTTCTACGAGGAATACTCCTCGTCGTCCTCTTCCGCCTCGTACGGGCTGACGAAAGATTTGAAAAGCTCGTCTGGAGGAAGCGGTAAAACTCAGTCGTCCTCCTCTTCCCGAAATAATCACCAGAGCCGGAAAACACCGGAATTTATGGCGTATTATAACAAATACTACCACCAGCAAGCGGAACCGAAGCGTAAGGCTGCTTGCGATTCGATTGAACCGCCGGATCTGATCAACCAGATTGTGGCCGATCAGCAACTGAAGCTCCTGCAGCAAGCCGCTGCCCGGAAGAAACAACATCAGGAACAGCACGCACTTGTGAGTAGCAGCAGCAGCAGTGGTGGTGGTAACTACCATCAGGTACGCGAAGCGGCCGTCATAATTGATTCGGAAGATTCCGATAATGGCGCTGCCAGTGGAAACGAAAGTGGCAGCGATGGTGAGACGCATTCGCACCGATTGCATCACCATCCACAGCAGCAGCATCCGCAGAAACATGGTAATGGTGCAAAGTGTGTAAAGGAGGAGGAGGAAGAGGAAGAGGATGAAGACGTAGAGGAGGAAGAGGACAAGCCGCAGGATCAACAGAAGCAAGGGCATCAGGATTCGCCCAAGAAGCGAATCGAAAAAAGCAGTAGCAGTGTCATCTACAATGGCACGATCATTGATAAGGACGGACTGGAAATGATCAAGATTTCCACCATCAACACCAAAGGTGAGCTACCGGGGTTGATTTTTTCAATAGGATTTTTTTTACCAGCGAATGTCTTGTTGGTATGCATAATTGCATATCAGTCCCACTTTTGCTTGATTTCCTATCCATATGGGACAGTTATGCAATTATGTGCAGTGTGGGAGTCAGTCAGTTTTTTAAGGTATTTCATCATCCAGTCACTCAAGTTGTGAAAGTCTTACAGAGCTGTAAATTTCTCTCTTGATCATTCAGCAGCAATCAGAGAGGTCTGGAAGGCAAACATTATTGGGATTATACATACGACGCTCTTGGAAATCCAAATTGTATACAAAATTACCATTGGGAAGCTTCCCACGAGCGATAAGCACAACGTTTGGAATCACAAAACCAGAAAGAGAAAGAGCGAACGAATGTTTACACTTTCGCTCGGTTTCCGCTTTAGTCAACGTTTTTCGGTTTAGCTAATCGCAAAGCTCGGCAGCCATATCTACACTCTGATCATGATAGCTTATTAAACTCGGTTCATGAGGATGGTAGATTCCAGTTTTGTAACGATTATGATAGGGTAGTGCGCTACTTCGTCGTAATCGCCCATTTCCGTTCTATCGATCAAAAAAGATCAATAATATCGATGATTTCACCACAAACGAAGTGACAGACGGAGCGGCTCGAAAACTTTGGTGACTAACCTGCTATTTCAATTTTTCAGTGTACCACATGGCAACACCACTAATACTGGATTGTACCACATGGCAACACTACTACTGGATTGTACTAGCATTTTCACCAAATGTATTCGAATGTTTTGGTTCTATCTCTTTCACTCTACTCAAAACTGAAATGCACAAAAAAATGACAAAATGATACACTCTTTGCACACTGTCAAAGATCATATTGCACACAAAATCAACTATGTTCAAATCAAAACAAAAATACTAGCCCATCTGGTGGCTGATGGCACAAGCTTCTAAGAAAATTCTATTATAGCGAACCACATTATTTTAATTGATTTCTTCGCCAGTTAGTCGTCTGTCACTTCGTTTGTGATTTCACCGTGCACAAATCAATAATAGGTTTGTTCCGATGCGTTAGTTCATTAGCTACAACATAAATCCTATAAGAGCGCATTGTATGAATATTTTCTATAAATCCTATAAGAGCGCATTGTATGCTCATTGTTCTCAAAACAAAAGAATCCCCTTTTTTCTACGTTTATCCGTAGGACGAAGAAAATTTAATTGCGTTTCAATGCGTTAGGACGGAATTGAAACTCGTAGGGCGAATTTAGAATCAAGAAGCAGTATTAGATTTTAAACAACATCTCAACAATTTGGACTCTTTATCATATGGAAAGGTGAATAAATTTAGAAGTCATCTTTGACAAAAACATTCCATTTTTTGTTCAAACTCGTTCAGAAAAGAGAGGTAAAGCGCGGGTTGTGCTTAGTAGGACGGAAATTAGATCAAAAACCCTACACTCTGAAATCGACAAGCCAAAAAAAGGAGAACTGCTGGGCCACAACAAAATTTATCAAGCATCAGGAAGCAAATCCCGTAGCCTCTTTTGCATGCGCATTACTCTGGCAGTGATGCCAGTTTAATCGATACACAAATATTGCTTCTGCTCTGTCTGCTACCGTTGAGATAATCGAGTCACGATTGTTGAAATTGGCAACTCCTTTCAGCATCACATTCCTCTACATTCCCGTGATTCAATCCGGGCTTTGGAAACGAGCAGAAGCCAAAAGAAAATGCCAAACATCGGGCATCGGCATCAGCAGCAACGGCGAGAGGCAGAGCCAAACTGAAACTCTGTATCCGAGTGAATTTAAAGTGAAAATAACTGTTATTTTTATAAATACCACTTTCCACCCATCGACCGAAGGAAGGTAGCAAAAGTGGTTCGTCGATCGTGCGCTTTTGTTTTCAGTTCGATCCTCTCTCCCTCTCGCGGTCCTCCTGGTAGGTCTGTGTATTGGTGTTCTGTTGTGATTGCGCGATCACGCGGTCGGATCAGATCAGGGTGTATGCGAGACGAGACGCCAGTTTGCGCGAATCTCTTCCACTCGGCGATTGTTGCTTCATATGAGTCTTCTCCTGGATGTTATGATGCATGAATGATTACTACATTGTTGCATCTAGTTTTGTTTTAACTACTTGCTCTCCGCCTATAGTTTTACATGAGCCGTGCGCGTTGTAGTTCGAAGTATGAACTAGAGATTCTGATCTTTCTTGTATAGGTTTTTATGGTGAGGATGCGGTTTGGAAGTAGTAGCGACGGTGAAGAGTCCACCACAAAATTGTATATTTAAATTAACTAACAGTATCTCAGTATAGCAAGTCGGTGGTGATTAGCTTGGGCACGATCAGGGAGGAGGGAAACTAGTTATATCAGAAAGTGTTGATATATGGCTCAAGAGTGAGGAAACGGTACCGTTTGATCGGATAAGGTGAATGAAGATACCACGATGAAGTTGTGCTGGTTGGATTCACGCAGTAATGGATCCACACTATTTCTCAGCCTACATTCAAGCTCAAATAATCATATTGTCGAGCAGTTTTGGGACGACCTTCTACCAGCCGTTTTAAGAAAACGGAGCAACAAATTCCAGATTTTTCAAACTTATTTTCCCCTGGTTCTAGAGGAAAACAATATCAAAATATGGTTCCTCGGCAAAATAGGAAGCGATTGGTAGGAAGCGCCATGTTGAACTGCTCGTATGATCTCAATTACTTTTCAAAAGGGCGTATCTGCTTTTGTAAACAAAAATTCAAACGTCAGTATGTCACAACTCTTAGTACTCTCACATAAAATAAGAACACCATCTTGTTGAGGGACACATTACCCTTTCTGATGATGATGTTAGTTTGCATGGGAGTGCTAAGAGTTTCGACACGTTGTCAAACTTTGTTCTCAAAAGCAGATACGTCCCATTGAAAAAGTAATCGAGTTATGATTTATTTAAATTGTATCTTTCGATTATGCATTTCGATGCATATCAACTGCCCTTTTGAAAGGCAACTCTCCTCCTCAAATGTACTACACGATGTATTCCAGATGGCCCAAGTAACAAATCTAGAGCTGCTTGGCTATATTCAAAATTTATAAAGGTTTTATTGCAGCTGCAACCATTACCTACTGCTTTATGACGGTCATATACAATGCAAATCATGAAACATTCTTATAGCTATCTACACAACCCCTATAAAGCTAATGAAAAAACCAACTGATGCTTATGCTATTTTCACTTATGAAAGGTTTTATGATTGCTCTGAAGTATAACAAAAAGCAATATGAATTACCCTTATAAAACCCAAAAATAAATCCTTTTATTGCTTTATAAGTAAGCGCAATAAAACTAGTTGGCCATGAAACAGTTATTTTAAAACAATTATAAGCATTCAGTTGCAACTTGTCAGAAATGTAAATAGGCGGTTTATTTTAACAACATAGAAAAGAATCAAAACTTTCCGGAGCGGAGCGCAAAGAAAATCAACAAAATTGTTAGCATGAGCATGAAAACATTTCGTGTATACGTAGTGTGCTTAAGAAAAACGTCAGCAATCTCTATAATTCTTCCGTTCTCGCTCGTATATACATGGGGTGACACTGTCGAATCTTGGTCAAAATACATGGAATGGTGACAGTCCTAGGACAAAAAGGTTGAAATCACGCATAACTTTTCATAATGGTTAATGTACCATTCAAAACTTTTCCAAATGTTTGTAAAATTCATCTGTTGCACCCGTAGAACAGGAATATACATTTGCCCTCAAATAAAAAATAATAATTCAAGCTGAACATTGCATTAGGTCCTAAGTAATATTGACAGATTCTCTTCGTCGACTTTCTCTTTGCATCCCCACGGTCATGTAAAGACATTCTTAGGTATTTTCAGCACATAAATCGATAAAAGAAGCTTTTATCTAGCATCCAATACGACAAACACATCAAGAAACGGTTCGGTGAATAAGTTATTAACGAAAGAGAAAGTCGACGAAGAGAATCGATCAATGTTACTTAGGACCTAATGCAAAGTTCAGCTTGAATTGCTCTTGTAAAAAGAAAATAGTTCTCGTAATAAAATCATGCATTATGCTTTTCTGTTCTGCTTTCATCCCATGCACACTGGGCCAGGAATGCAACCTAGCGGAGCAATATTAATAACTCCGAAACGAAGCATTTCCGCGACTTGGTGTCTTCGGCAAAATTTCTCGTCATAAAATATTTTCGACATTTTTTTATTTAACTCCATATAACTTGGAACCAGTAGACAGTGGAAATTTAACGTCTTTGAAAGAGCTGTTCATTTTGTCAAGATAAACAACTTTGCCCAAGACATAAAGTCTCCAAAACGTCAGAGGAAGAAGTTAGATTGTGGCACCATCTTTGCGGAAGAGTTTTGAACTATTTATTTATGATCCTTATTATGACGAGAAATTTTTCCGAAGACACCAAGTCGCGGAAATGCTTCGTTTCGGAGTTATTAATTTTGCTCCGCTAGGTAGCATTCCTGACCCAGTGTGCAATGTAAGCATTAGACATTTTAAGAAATTGCGCTTGGTGTTTTTCTTGCCTGCTGTCCTCTGTCGCCATATTGTCATTATGAAAATGCCATTAGCCTTGGAATAAAATCCAAGAAATTTCAATAAAATAATGGGTAAATAAGAGATCCGAAATGATTTCCAGTGTGCATTGGTATGAATTTATGTATTGAGATCTATTTTCTGTAAAATTAAGGTGATTCCATCAAATTCATTTGATTTCTGAAACAATCTTTTTTGTTAACTTGAATTATTTTGGAGGCGCATTTATTTAACGCTCATATTATCTCAATAAACACGATAACATTTCAAGCGCATAGGGTTACGGTATGTAATGTGGGTCTAGTCCTTTCATTCGGCCTATCACGCAAATAAATAATTAATTAAGGAATATTACACAAAAAATAAGGAAAATATTGATCACTGATGATTGATAAATGTGTACCACACACAAATCAATTTATATCACAACATTT